CGATGAGAGTTGGAGGCGAGTTCAACTCGGCCAGTAACAAAGCACGAATGAAGCTCGATGTTATCAAACCTAGTTCAGTGCTCTCATAGAGCTCGCTGCATCCACTCTGATCCTCCTTCAATTGTCCTTGGATCAGGTTGCGCCTGGCCCTGGCCCTGTGCTGATAAACCTTGGTGAGCCAAGTTCAAAAACGCAGCAAAAGACGGTGTTACTGGTCAAGAAAGATATCATCGAGAGCATCGTTGCGAGCGGACTCGGTTCTCGGTTCAGGTTCCGCCTGTCCACGGCCATGCGATCCATGCAAGCACTCTGAGAAGGTTTTTTTTTGTGGGCGAGAGCAGTCAACGAATAGCCCAGCCATCTGCTGCTACACAACACCCAACAGATCTTTCTCAACTCCAAACAAAGCATGTGAAGCGAACCCACAACGACCCCGGTGATGTGTGCCTTCCAACGGGCATGGCAACAAGAGCTGTGAAAAAACCCGACATTTCCTGCTTCGCCAGACTCTTCAGAGCTTGAATGTCAACCGTAAAAAACATACTTGTGTAAGTCAGCCGTGAGAAAAATACCTACGTAATTCCCCATCGAGGGGCTCAGCCGAGAGTTGAACCCCGGGACCTCCTGCACCCTAAGCAGGAATGATGCTACTAGACCATTGAACCTTACACTGGCGATGGGTTCTAAACTTGAATTCTTTGCCTATGTACGATTTGCGTTCCCGCTGCGCGCGAGGTGCGCGCTTTGGTCTGGTGATAGAACAATTCGTCGAACTAGGCAGTCAGGTTGAGCGAGCGAGTTGACGTGTCGGCCTGGCCGTGGGCCCGTGTATTTCGAGAGCTGTGAACGTGGATCGTTCTGAGAGCTCGGAGCTGGATTGGGTTTATATGTGCAGGGAGCGAAGAAGGGATATCGTGGGCCCTGACAATGGACGCTTGCAACGTTCGGTGGGCTTCCAAGTCTCGATTATGTTGCCATGAACATCCAAATGGGCCAAAGGCGGCGTTCCGGTAATTCGGAAATATGAACGAGACCTCGCGTTCGGGCGGTCAATACGTTCCATTCATTGTTACAGTTTGTACATATCCAAGAGGATTTGGACCGGAATAAGGGGGGTGAGGGGAGGAGCGGCAGCTGAAGCCGCGAGCAAATGCGGTAAAAAGTCAGCAAAACTTCCACTTGTTGTCGCAGTTGACGCATGTGACGAAGGTTGTCTGGAGCACGGGAGCGAGTCAGAGAATGGACGAAGAGAAGAGCAATGCGGAGATCGAAAGGGGTTCAAAAGGCCATCATCCCTCACCATCGGTTCATCGGCACTGCGCGTCTGCTTCTGGTAGTACTTTGTCTTGCGCTGCCCACAGCGACCGCACTTAAACATGTCCGTTTCGGCCTGGTTGTCCACGGCAGCCGTCGCCTCGTTCATGCTCTGCTTCCGAGCCTTGTCAGCCTCGTTTCGCCGTTCGTTCGAGGCCATTTCCTGACGGGGGGAGGGGGGGTCCGTTAGCGATAGCCGTCCAACGCCCCTTCTCAAAATAGATGAACATTAAAAAAATCAAAATAAACTCACCTCGGTAGTCATAACCGCAAACTGCTCGACCGCGAGCGAACCCGACAGAACGCGCTGCCTGAGAAACGGGTTCGTCTTATCTTTCAAGTTCAACCACATCGATCGGATCCGGGTTTTGTACTTTTGAGAGCCTTGCCCCTCCGTATCGTTGGTGATGTTCTCGATCTTCTCGGCGATTGATAGTACCTTGCGCGAGTCTGCGTGGAGGGAACGTCAGGAAATTCAACGTTTAGGTTGGATTCGAGTCGGCGCTCCCATCGCGTGGCACGTCGAACAAGATCTTACCCTCTTGAGTACCAGACGCTAAAGAGGTATAGAGCATCCCGATGCATCTTTCGCGCAGCTTATCCGTCGTAGAGCTGACCTTTATGTTGTCGGACGCCAGTGATCGCTCGGTGTATTCTCCCGACGCCGGTGTAGACACTTGAGACACCGATGGGGATACAACGGCCTTTTTCTCGGTGTCGACTGTAATGACGTGAGGTAATAAAATCTTCTTAAGTATACTTAGACTTGACGGCCCCTGACCGCCTACTGCACCTCGTCCCTCATGCCCCGCCCCCCGAGAAAGTTTACCTTTTGGTGGGATAGGCTTCTTAGCAGCCGATTTCGAATCCCCCCCGTCTCCAGACTTCTCGCCCCTTCCGACATCGTTCTTCCACTTTCCTACCAACTCCTTCGCCGTAGCTTTTTGGTCGTCGGTCGCATTCGGGTTCTTTCGGAGTTCGTTCACGTAGACACCGATTTTCGTTTTCTGAGCAGATGTAACGAAACG